CTTGGGTTGTTTTCCCAGAGCCCACCTTTTGCCTACTATAGAGCTCACCCATGGTCTTGGGTAGGACATTTGGTAGAGGATTTGACCCCTGCTCATATAGAAGACGTGGTTTCCATGTCTGAGCTAGAAATGAACTTTAGGCTGTCTTTTCTTCCTGAGAGGCGTCCCTGTCATGTTGATAGTTTGCTAGAGGCTATAGACCGCACTGTAGTGTCCTGTGAAACCCAGCAGCCAACCTTCTTTTCTGCTGTATTTGAGATTGATTGAACTTGGGCGACAAGGAAGATTCTGAGACACTTGCTCCTGGGTGATAGCTTTTATGATATCTGACAGGTATTTATTTTCTTTCTTCAGGGGGCCTGAAGTTAAAGTATGGTCCAAAACAGGCTCTGGGCAGCCCAGACCCTACCTCAGGAGTAGGGTGGCAGAAGTTCAGAGCTCTCTGTAGGAATAGCAGCTGGACCCAGAAAGGGCTGGAGCCTTTCTAGGCAGGGAGAGGCTGGAAACGAGGCATCTGTTCCAGTGCTGTGTGGCCCTGGCCTCAGAATGGGAATGGGAAGGCCTCTTTGCTCTGCCACGCTTCGCTCAGAGCTGGGCAGGCAACTCTGACATCATGCTACCCACTTGGCCTCCACAGCTCCTCCAGACGACCAATAACTCTCCCATGAACTCCAAGCCCCAGCAGATTAAAATGCAGTCCACAAAAAAGGGTCCCCTGAGCAAAAGAGAAGAAGGAGGTCCATCTGGCACACCAGTGGCCGGGGGCCCCTCAGCTGGAGAGGAAGCTTCCTCTTTAGGAACTACACAGGCTGCTACATCCAGTGGTCTCCAGCCACAGGTAAGTAGGGCCTCTTACGGCCTCCAGCATGATTCTGGGAGGGGCAGGACTGATAATCCAAGTGGTCCTGATTGGCATTTGTTTTTAATGAAATAAAGAATAGAAAAATGTCAAGGTTCCCCTTTTTATTTTGATTTTTGTTTGTTTTTTGTTTTTTTCCTTTGTTTTTTTTAAAGACAGGATCTTGGGGAGGGAGGAGGAACTGGGGTTGGTATGTAAAATGAAAAGTAAGGGGTTTTTTTTGTTTTTTTTTTTTTAAAAAATAAAAAAAAAGTGATGGGGGGAATAGGATCTCACTCTGTAGGACAGACTGGCCTGAGATTTACTCTGTAAGTTAGACTAGCCTTAAACTTAAGGCAGCTTCCCTCAGCTTTTCTGGTGCTGAGATCACAGGTGTGAGTCACCACACCCAGCCAAGGCTTCCCTTTGATAATACGAATATATTTGGTTTCTAGTGCTGTGTGTGCCTGAGATCCAGCACACCTGAGAGACACTGCCTTAGAGCTCCTTCTCCGAGCATGAGGAGGTGAAGGTGGCCTTTGCTGAGCTCACAGGCCTGCTACCCCTCCCTAGTGCCTGCCCCGTGTTGTTTCTCTGTAGCCTTGTTGGAGTAGGCTTCTGAGCCTTACTCTCACACAGTGCAGGTGCTCATTCTCTTCTCTCTCCTCCCAGCTCTCTCCTCTTCCTTCCCCTTGTAACCCCGTCCCACCCCGAGGTTCCTGAACCCCTCTCCCAGTTAGTGATGTATGTTGACTCCTGTCCCCCTGTTCTTCTCTGACCAGCTCCCCTGCCATCACCACACACACCTACAGCTGCCAGGAAGACTCCGTTTCCCCATGTAAACTCGTGACTAGGTTAGGGCTACAACATGGTCATTGCCTGGCCCTACTTTAGAAAACCACCATTTCTCAAGTGCCTGCTTTCTTTCTTTTAGCCCAAGCCCAGCAGTGGGGGCCGGCGACGAGGGGGCCAGCGCCACAAGGTGAAGTCCCAGGGGGCCTGTGTGACTCCTGCCAGCGGCTGCTGAATATTCCCCTGGTGCACTTGACCACCCATGGGATCCTTACTCTGGCTACTGCTCACCAGCTGGGCAGAGCATCTTTGACCGCCACCCGCCCACTCCAGCCCACAGCCAGAGCATCCTTGTTGCCACAACCCCCATTTTCCAGGGGGCATTGTTAATTTATAAGATAAGGATGAACTAGATGCCCAAGGACTGCCCATCTCCCACTGTCTCCTCCCTTACACATCTTTCGTACATCTGGGCCCTTGATTTCTATTCTCTTTATTATATATCTCTGTCATGTGTGTGTGCGTGCGTGCGTGTGTGTGTGTGTGTGTGTGTGTGTATAGGGGGTGTGTGCAGGAATGCAGCTGACCCTGTCAGTCTCTGTTTCAGTCCTGGCTGGCCACTCACTTTTGAGAGCTGCCACCTGTCCTTCCATCCGTATCTGTCTCAATGAGATCCTCAGATCTTTTAGGGAACCTCAGGAGCCCAAGGCACCTGTCTTCCCAGGGCAATTGCCCCTCTTAGCTGGAAGCTCTTCTTTGGTTTAGTAGCTTCTGCCAGAGCAGGGATCCCCCAATCTAAGATTTGGGGAATTTAATGGAAAGTGGTGGCTTCCCCTGTCTCTCCTTTTCCCTCCTAAGCTCCCAGACAGGTAAAGTCAAAAGCTCTCCAGCGGCACCTGTATGTGTGAGAGCGTGGTGACTGCATTACAGGACTGCCCACCCTGACTTGTTTGTTTTCTGAGACAGGGTTTCTCTGTTTAGCCCTGGCTGTCCTGGAACCTGCTCTGTAGACCAGGCTGCCCTTGAACTCAGAGATCCGCCTGCGTCTGCCTCCCAAGTTCTGGGATTAAAAGTGTGCACCCTACCACCTGGCTGCCCACTCTGACTCTTGACCCTTGCCATGGATCCAAAGAACTGGGTGGGCTTACCCCTGGAGACAATCCTGGGCTTGCCTGGCTGGCCCTGGCTGCTCCGACTTCTGTGCCCACTGGAGGCTTTTCCTGTTCCTCTGCCGAGCCTCAGCGCACAGGGTACTAGACTGGGTCCGGGCCTTCCTAGAATCTGGTTTTATAGCCCCTCCTTTGGTGGGGGAGGGTAGGTACTCCTCTGAGTTGAGCCAGGACTAGAAACCCTCCTTCCCCACATCACCCCAGCATAGCTGCTACAGCTGTGGCATCACAGCAGCGAGAAGCCTGGGCCCAGATGCCCTGACTGGCGTGTGTAAGGGCAGGTGGCAGTGGAGATTCTTCTAGGCCATCAAAAGCACTGCTGCTGGGGTAGAGTAGAGTGGGCAAGACCTGCACCCTGACCTCAGGCTGGGGTGCTCCTTCTCAGCCAGGACACACCCAGCTGGCTGGGTCCCTCTTCAGCCCCACCTCGACTCCCAAGCTCTCTTTCTTTCAATTGGTCCTGACTGCTCTTTCCTCCCTGCCCTTCCTCCCAGCTGTTTCTAGTTACCACTGCCCTGTGGCCATGGACTGACCAAACCAGCATTCACAATAAAAGTTTGTTTTAAGTTGACAGTGTTATGTTCCCTGCCCAGCACCTCCACCTGGAGGTTCTGCCTGCCTTGTGTGCCTGGTGGCAGCTGAGGGGAGCAGGGCGTCCAGGAGCCCCACTTCTGCAGGTGTAAATGCTCCACTAGCTATCTTTGAACCCCACTTTCTAGGTTGTGTGGATTCATTGAGAGTCAGGGAGACAGGTGTTCTGGTCAGGCTGAATGCAGTGTGGTGCTGCTGTGGGTGGGCTTGCTCACTCCACAGCTAGATGGACAGTCACTGCTGCCATCTGTGAGACTGACAAGACTGGAGCTCAGGGAAGGGAAGAGCCGTCGCCAGTGGATTAGTTCCTGTTCACCCTACAGCTTTTCCCAGCCAGCTGGAGCCCACTCCTCTGAATCCAGCTATTTTCACCTGTGTGTAGTTCTGGCTCAGGCTGTAGTAATGGGACTTCAGCATGGTGGCACATGGCACAGTGGAGTCTGTGACTTCCTACAGCATTGGGCCACAGTAGAGCTTCATTTCATCCTAACTATGGCCCTTTAAGCAGTGGTGGTCACTAGAACTACTATGTTCAGGAACCACTCTGGCTTCAGGCCCTCAGGGAGGTAGGTGTGGATATGGCCAGGGGAGCTGACTGAATTCAGTGTTAAATGGTCATTAATGGGGACTGCAAAGGTCTCTGCAGAACTCAGCCATTCTCAGCTCTCCGTTTAGAGAAAATACCGGCCCATCTGTAGTCAATAAAGTTGCTAATCCATGAGTCTCATAAGGGCAAGAAGTAGCCTTCTGTATGTGCAGTTTGCATGTGCATCTTTCCTAGGACTGAGGCAGTAAGGTGGGTGGGATGGAGGTGGCCAGGTCCTCACAGCACCTGCAGAAGCTATTCAGGCTCACTGGTGCCTGCCACTGAGATGATGTAACAGGAATGTGCCACAGTGCAGGGGTACATTTGGCTGGAGTTGGGGAGTTAGGGAGACAGTTTGTGAGGGTCAGACCATGAGAGGCCCAGAGGATTTGAGTGTTCAGGTCGAGAGGCACTGAGCCCTAATGGTGTGTGGCAATTATGGAACTATTTGTTAGGGCTCTTCCTGCCCAGTAATATCAGTTTTGTGGAAGAGAATGAGTACATAGCGTGCCCCTGGGCTCTGGGCCAACTTGTACTCCAGCCAGTACCCTCTCCTGCCTGCTGACCAGTTCATGCTTTTATTTTCTCAGCCATGGCAAGAACCAGCTCTGGACAAGATGCCATGGTCAGTAGGAGGCGCCTCAGCCCTGAGCTGAATCTCAGCAGTCCCCAGGCCCTGGCAGATCCTGACAGACTCTTTCAGGAGAAACCTCCTTAAGCCTGAGACCCACTGCCTGTGTTTAAGCAGAGACAGGGAAGTCTTCCTCCCTCATGGTACTCTTGATGACAGCTCCCAAAGTCATTTCACTCCCTCCTTCCAGCCCTCAAATCCAGAAACACTGCAGTGGACCTTAGCTGGGGTTCCAAGTTCATCCCAGTGGTTTTTAACCAAAGGCCTCAGTTTCTGGGCATTAGGACTAAGTCTTTGGGTACAGTGGTTTAGCTAAGAATTCAGTCCCTTGTCTAAGAGCAGCTGATTTGCTTTATGATAACCAGAAAAACAAAAACAAAACAAAACACATAATTCATTGATCCTGTGCATCCTTTATTTTTTTGCATAGGCATAAATTACAGTCTGGAGAGGTTTTTTTGTTTTGTTTTGTTTAAAAAAGAACCAACAGTGCAGCATTTGTGACAAGAGAGCACAATACAAGCCCTGAGGGCAGGGATGTGCAGGTTGTGGCTTCACCAGAACACCTAAGAGGGCTTCTGCTTGCCCCTGCCTGACAGCTCCCCTTGGCCCTTCCCATAGGCCAGAACCAAGCCCCTCTCAGAGGCCAGGAACTGGGAACTGAGTAACAGCTGGTGCCCCGCAGAATGGGGCTAGGAATCAAGCCTGTAGCTTTTCAGTTTCAAAAAACAAAAAATAAAAACTGACCTTGAGAATTCTATATATAATACAGCAGGGCCATTCAGTCTGAAAGCCTCTTCCTCCTCCCCACACAAGGTAACTTCTGCCAGCCTCCCTCCCAGCCCCTACCCAACTGCCCCCACAGAGAAGGGATCTAAGCAAGAGCTGAAAGCCCAAGGGAGCTGCTTTAGAGTGGGCAGGGCCTTCACTAGATGGGAGTGGGCTAGTGTAGCCTCTCCACCTGACACCTTGAACCACACCGTGGCTATTGGCACTAGACCAGGAGAACTCCCCAAGGTCATTTTCCCTCTCTTCGAGGCTACCCTGATGGAATGGCCCCAAAGACAGCCTAGGTCCTCCCCTGGGGGAATGGAAACCTTGCTCTGAAGCACAGGCAGGATACAGCAGGAATGAAGTACAAAGTAGACCCTCACCCCACATCAGGAGAAAAAGCAATGGTCCCCGGCACTGGGGATCCAGGTTGGCACAGACAGCAGTACTCAGAGGCACACAGGACCTGGTACCCTCCAGGATACAAGAAACCTCAGGGACCCTGTGGGCCAGGGTATCTGCCAGAGATAGTTCCTGCTGTATAGTGCTGAGCACTGTCCTAAAAGGCCACAAGACCCCCCAGCTCACCTCCCTGGGGCTCTGGCTTAGTGTGCACATGGCTTTGGCACCTACCAGAAGCTCCCTGCTGCCAGTCCCTCCACCAAATAGTCTCACTTCCTGACTCCCAGACCTCTAAAGTATGCTACATATATACACCCTGGCAGGCGCCTAGCTCTAGAGGGAGGACTAAGAGAGGCATGGGAGCCTGTTGGCAACCTCAAGCTGCTTGGTTATGCAGGGAATCCTACACATGCTGCCTCTTCGTTCTTGCTCCTGAAGTCAGCGCTATCAAGCATTTGCGGGCAGTGATGGGGGTGCTGTACACCTACTCTCAGAGCAGGGGTAGATGCTGGGAAGGGTGGGCCTCCCAGGCGGCTAGCAGCAGGCACAAGGTCTTAAAGGGCTAGTGAGCAGGCTCTCCATGCACCCGGAAGCGGTAGATGCACGTGTATTCAGGGTGGCCCCAGTTGGTCAGGATCCGAAGCTCCACGACTTGATATGTGGCCATCTTGGAGGCCTAAGTGGAGAAGAAGGGTTCAATGTCACTGGGTCCCTTGACATGTCACCAACAGAAGGGGCTGGGGGGCCAGATGTCTTCCTCTGGAGGCTCAAAAAAAAAACCACATTTCTAAAGTTTATATTTCCTGGAACAAAGTTTCCAGGCCAAAGGCCCTGGGGGACTTCAGGGTTCTAGGGGCCACTACCCATGAGCCCCTTGGACCATATGTGAACAGTCTGAGTACCAAGGACCAGCACAGTTCATCCGAGACTGACGAGTTCATTCCCAGTCATGGTTAGCATTATCATGCATAGAACTTTCATAGGAGGCTTGTGGACAGGGTTTGCTTTTTGCTGGTATGTGTCTAGCCTAAAAGCCATAGTGTTATAAGGCTGAAGAGCTAGCCCAGCAGTTAAGAACACTGGCTCTTCCATATGATTCAGGTTCAATTCCCAGCACACATATGGCAGCTTCTAATTGTAACTCTAGTTATAGGGTATCCAACACCCTCTTCTGACCTCCTATGGCACTAAGCAAGCAGATGGTGCACATATATATATGTGTGTGTGTGTGTGTGTGTGTGTGTGTGTGTGTAAAATACTTATACACAGATACAGAAAAAAACAACCAACGAAAACAAAACAACCAAGGAATTAAAATGAACTGAGTTCCATCCCTAGCACCAGAATCTGCCTCTATCAAGCGTAGAAGATTGGATGCCCGCTTATTGTAGGCCGCTACACACTGATCATCCTGAACATCTGTCATAGTCACATCCTTGTCACAACCCTTTAGTAAAACTCACTTCCACAGAGCCCCTGTTCAGGAAGCCCCTTAATGCTGTCATCTCTGCCATTGACAGGAGAGTCAATCTCTGCCCTATATCCTGAACTGAGGCAGGATGGGAAGAGATCTCTGAGCCCTGTACCTGGCAGTGCAAGTACTGGGAGATGGCTGCTGTTGATGGGGTGGGGGTGGGGGTTGAGGTTCCACCCCATGAGCTCACAATCCTGTACCTGGAAATAGAAGGTCTGGATGGGATCTCCATCCTGGTCATAGGCGAACGTGCCAAGAAGTGTCCCTTCCTGCTGCAGGTCTTCATCAAAGCCCTGTAACAAAGCATATAGGAGTGGGGAGGAGTCGGGGGCCACTCCAGGCTTACACCTGGTGTCTTCACTGCAGCTTCAGACAGCCGAGCCAAAGGGCTAGGTCTCACCCTGGCTCTCTTCTTCAAATGCACTAACCCCCTCACTGCCAGAGCCACCTTAGGTGATTCTCAGCAAAGACACTCCCTCTGCCCCCACACAGACCAGGTACTCACAAAGATGGCAAAGTCCTTGGGAGCACTGGAGATAGTGCTGTTGGGTGACAAGGCCTTAGGCACATGTTCTAAGGTGACAGCTGTGGGGCGGATACGAGCAGAGAGGCGGACCACAGCAAAGCCCTGAGGCCCCTGGAAGGCCCAGCAGTTGCCTGGGTGCACATCTGGCTGGAGGAGGTGAAAGGCATGTCAGATAAGGGGCTTTAAACCAGGTCTGGCTGACTGAGGGGCATCCATCCCCTACTGTGTTCAGAGTGCACTGGACCCTCACTGAGTGCCCACCTGGAGAATGACTCGCGGTGACTGTGAGTGGTACCACAAGGGGATGCCGAAGAGGCTGAGGAGGGCCGTCTTTGTCTCATAAGTCTCGGAACACCGAGTACTGATAACACTGGCTCCTGTCCCGGGAGAGAAAGTTTCTTTAAACTCTCAGTGGAGAGGCCCAATAAGCTCCTGGTTCCAGGATTGAAGAGCTGTTGCCTGTCTCCTCACAGAACATGGAGATAAGGACCTTAAACCCAGCCCTTAGCTCTAACCTAAATTCACAAGGCCTCTCCAAGCCAGGCCTCTCAGTGCCAGGCCTCTCAGTGCCTCATGGCTTCCCTCAGCCATCCCTGGCCTTGGATGGGAGCTCCGGTTGGGTGTCCGATACTGGCCTCGAGCCCTGTTTGCTTAGCACTGTGCTGCCTGGCAGACTTGAAGCCTAGCCATTGTAAGAACCAAGATAAGGCCAAGTGGTGAAGGCAGGACACACACCTCCTGATTCCAGGGCGTAGTCTACCATTCCAATACGGTCCTCGCTGTAGCGCTGCAGGGCTTGCTTGACGATCTGGTGCACTTGCTGAAACATGTCCCCAGGAGATAGGTGTGATGTGAATGGGGCACAGACACTGCATGCACACCCATAACTGACCCTGCTAGACGGGCACAGTGGTACCCAAACAGGTCTTGTACACCTCCACCACCCACACCTGGCCCAGAACATACACCCAAACCTCTAACCAGAGGGTCCATCACTTATGTCCTAGAACATATGAGGAGCTGGCAGCATAGGACTGTTCAGGTCTACAGCTTCCGGGGAAGAAAGCAGTGTGCGGGGAGGGTAGTCATCCTTACCTCCTCTGTCACCCCGACCACGCCTTCTTTCTGCAGTGTCCGTCCCAGAGAAGCTGCAGCCTCCCTGGCTGACTTGCCCTGCATCTCAGCCATGCTGGCAAGGATCTTGCTCTCCAGCTCCTGCAGCTGAGCATGCAGCTCATCTCTCTGCAGGAGTCCGCTACGGGCACCCCTATCTTGGAGAAGGAACTGACTGACCCAGTCAGGGAACTGGGATTCCACCTAGGGACAAAGGCAGTGTCACTGAGAAGCTTGCAGGAAGGGCAGGGGCTGCTATGGCAGGGCTGGTGGGCTGTCACTCAGGGAGGCAGCAGAGCTGGAGGGGGAAGGAGATCCTGGGAGAAAGGTTATAGAGGTCAGGGACTACCTTCTAGGGAAGACTGGCTAAGAATGGCAAACATTTTCCCCAGAGTCCAGATCTGCACCAGTTCAGGTGTGCACGTGCCTCCAGGACAGACCAAGGATACTGCCTCCACCTCCGCCCCCAGGCGGGTGGTTGCAGACAACAGGCTAAGGACCCCGCCCCCAGGTGGGTGGTCTCAGACAATAGACTAAGGATACTGCCCAAACTGACAGACCCCGCCCCTAGGTAGGTGGTCTCAGACAACAGACTAAGGATACTGCCCAAGCTGACAGACCCCGCCCCCAGGTGGGTGTTTCCCAGAGGGTAGGATGTTCCACAGGGCTCTGGGTAATTCCAACTCACATCAGCCCTGGCAGCCTGGATCTTCTGTGGCAGCAGTCCCACTTCATCTGCCACCGAGTTCTGCCTCAGAGTCAGGGCAGCCAGCTCTTGCCGCAGGCTGGCCAGCTGGGCTTCCAACCGTCCCAGCTCCTTCTGCGAGCTCTCCTGGAAGGCCTCCTGGGTCATCCTAACCCCAGAGGGAGGCAAGTAAGGTAAGGCCATGTTGAGGAAGGAAGAGGACCCCCTGACTGACTCCTGTCATAAAGTGTGTGCCTGTCACTCACTTCGTGTGTGAAGAAGTCTGACAGGAGAACACGGCACAGGAGCTGGGGAACTAGCTTGCCTGTCTCAGAGCTAATTCTGTTCTGATTCCCTCTAAGCTTGGAGCACACAATTCACAGTGCTGCGGCCTCCCCTGCCTTCACGGCTTGGCCATAAGAACATAAGGCACATAGAAGAGACCAGCCCACAAGCTCCAGTTTCTCTGCAGTGCCTGGCCCTGCCACCCCTCATCCTTACCAATCTTCCCTGGACCTTAGAGGCTGCCGGCAGGGTCCTAAGCTAAGTTTCTGCCAGCCTTCCCCAAGGGACCAGGCAGAGCCCTAATGGTGACAGAACTGGCCTTGGCCATGGCAGCTATTACCTTTGCCACTCTGTCTTTAGCTGCTGGACACGAGCCTCAGACTCCTGGGAGCAGGAAGAAGAACAAAGACAAAAAATAAATGAAGAGTTCAGCTGTGGGCATAGCTCAGGTGGCAGAGTGATCACTTAGCTTGTAGAATACACAGGATTCTTCATTTCTGAGGACCTGTCCTGTATGGGGGTCTTTGCTTAATCCCATCCCTTCCTTGGGGCCTCCCAGCCCTTTCAGCAGAGATCAAACCAGTTGAAGCTCTGTGACCTCACCAGACTCATTTCCACCTAGGTAAGTTTATGTTCACTGAGCACAGACACACCAGCACAGCTACCTCCCTTGCCCCATGCACATACATCCCCAGCGGTCACTGTGGAACATCCATGCGAGACACGTTCAGCCCCTAGAGAAGCAACAAGACCACTCCCCTTCTGTGCAATATCCCAGCAGTATCCATGGAGGACCTGAGTGGTGAGATCCTCAGCGCAGGCCTACACGCCTAGCCCACTGACCTGAGAGGCCTGGACAATCTTCTTGAAGAGGTCTTCCGAGTCTTGGTGATGCTCTGCCCTCAGGGCTGCCAATTCTTCCTGGCAGATACAGGGAAGAAACTGGCTTTTGTGTTTGCTTTGTTTTAGACAGTCTCTCTCTATGTAGCCCTGGCTCTCCTGGAACTCTGGTATGTAGACCAGGCTGGTCTCAAACTCAAGAGATTCACCTGCCTCTGCCTCCTGAGTGATGGGATTAAAGGTGTGCACCATCGTGCCCTGAGAGACTAAGGTTTGACAGCTGCCCTTGGAGGAACACTTGTGACTGGAAGCTAACGGGGCTCATTCTTGGACTTTTCACTCCAGGTTTCAGCCCCTGGCCTTATGCTACAAGGCTGAAATATAAGGGGTACCACCTGGTGTCTAACACTTCACTGGTGTCAGGCACTATGCTGGGCACTCCCACCATGGAAGATGGATCATCCCCATCCTGACAGGGTACCTGGCAAGTGATGCTATATTACACACAACTGTCTCCCTCATGCTCTGTGGGGCTTCCTACACCCAACATGTGCACTTTCAGGGTTTTCTATGGCCTCATCCTCAGGGGATGTGCAGTCCCACACCCTGGCAATGCTGTTCCCTCACCTGGATACGAGCCACCGTCTCCCTGCGCAAGTCCTCTTTCAAGGCAGCCTCACGGCGGTTCACCAACCCCTCCAGGAGAGACAGGGTATCCTCATGGCTCAAGCCACTGCTGCCTCCATGGCCAGTAGCCCCCTGCCGCAGCTCCAGGCGTTCCAGCCGCATGGCCTCCTTCTGCCAGTTGGAGGAAAACTCAGCAGCAAGAGCTTCCAGACGCCGCTCCAGGGAGTGCACCCGGGAGAGAACCCGCTGCTCAGCCTGGTGGGGCCAGAGGGAAAGAACAGAGGTTGGGGGGGCCAGGGGAGCCCACCACAAGGCTTCCTGGAAATGGCCACTGAGACAGCTGGCAGAAAGAGGAGAATTCGAGGGGCTCCTGACTCAGCCCAGTTGGGACATGGCAACGAGGCATAGTAGTGCACACCTTTAGTCCCAGCACTTGTAAAGCAGAGAGAGGCAGGCGGACATATGTGGGTTCAAGGCCAGCTTGGTCTACAGAGTGAGTTCCAGGACAGCCAGAAATATCTAATGAGACTCTGCTTAAAAAAAACAAAAACAAACAAAAAAGCAAAACCAGCTGGGGCATGGCTAGTAACTGCAGCACGTGCCAGGAGATACAGGACACACACTGCAGGAGCCAGGCCCAAAGCTCCCTAAACATAGTCCCCATCAGATCCCAATGTCCAATGTGGAGGGAAAGGTGGCTGGGGGACGGGGTCTGAATACAGGGACTAGCCAGGAAAATGTCATGAAGTTGCAGGATGGTCACAGGAACCCAGCTGGGCAGCCCATGTATGTGTATGTGTGTATATATACACACACACACACACACACACACACACACACCATGAGCTGTATAAGGTTGGGAGGGGTAGCCTTTGGCCTTCCAGTGCTTTTGCTCTTCCATAGATAACTACATCAAGAAGGAATGGTTTAAAAGCTCTGCATTGTCCTCATTTAAATGAATGTCCTACAGAGATGTAGTAGCAGCCATTTAGATCAAGGGTGACACCCGATACTGTGTCATGAATTTTGAAAACAACGAAATCTTTGCCAAAAGAAATTACAAAATGCAATCTGACAACCAACCCTTAAAGGGTAAAGGACTTTGGGGCAGAGGTCTCTGTTCTTAGAAATTCTGTTTTAAATATATGCTCGCATGACTCGAAAGGTAGCAAGCACAGAATGCCACTCCCAGCCTGCCCGCCTCTCCCCGCCCCCCCCGCCCCTGCCATCACCTATCCAGACCCACTGTCTTCACTGCTGTCCACACACCCTGGCGGAAGCCAGGCCAAGCTCTGCTGCCTTTACTTCCCCTTTACACATGCAAAGTGGCCCAAGACTGAGCCGCTCCTTGTCACTTCAAAGATTAACGTTAAAAGGAGTTTGCAGATGACAGGAGATACCATCATTTTAAGAAATAAGATCATATTCATGAAAAGATCATATTCATGCTGGAATATGTGGCAAGGTTAACTTGGCAGGTACAAGCAAAATTCAAATCACTAGAGGACAAAGAGTTTTTTGGGGGGGATATTTGTTTTCTTTTCTGTTTTTTGTTTTGTTTTGATTTGTTTTTTTTTTTGTTTTTTTTTGTTTTGTTTTGCTTGCTTGTTTGCTTTTCGAGACAGGGTTTCTTGGTAGTTTGGAGCCTGTCCTGGAACTAGCTTTGTAGACTAGGTTGGCTTCAAACTCACAGAGCTCCACCTGCCCCTGCCTCTCGAGTGCTGGGATTAAAGGCGTGCATCACCACTGCCCAGCGTTTGTTTCCTTGGAAAAGGGTCTTACTCTTAGTCTACACTGAACTGTAGTTTACCATGTAGCCCAGGCTAACAGAAGATTCACAGTGATTCTCCTGCCTTATCCTCCCAAGTGCCAGGACTACAGATGTGAGCCACCATGCCCTGCTGAGACAAAGAGATTTGTGTGTGTGTGTATGCCATGCTCATGTGTGTATGCATGTGTGTGCACATGTATGTGAACGTGTACTAGCTTGTGCATCAGGGGAAGTCAGAAGTTGACATTAGATATATCATTTCAGCTGGTCTGATTGGCCAACAAGCCCTTGAGATCCACCTGACTCCACCACCACCCCCAGCACTAGGGTTATAGGTGTGTACTAGTCATACTGGGGATCTGAACTCAGGTCTGATACTCACGCAGCAAGTATGCTGTGCACTGAGCCAGCCCCCTAGCCCGGGACAGAGTTTTGAGTGCCCTGTATTTCTACTACATTCTGGTTATATGCCTACTTGGTTCACTTGTTACCACAACTGACTGCAGGCCCCTGAAGAGCACAGCCTGGGCCTGCCCCATCTTAAGACCTGAGCAGATTAGAAACTGGCCACCGTCTTTCACTCCTGTGTCTGCAGCCTCTGCAGAGTGGCTTCCCTCTCCTTGTCCCCCACTTCTTGAATCTGGTCTGTCCTTAATACTTGCTTCTCCAGGTCCTAGCTCATCTAGCTTGTTTTCCCCCTCCTAGAACACAGCTGAGCTGTTATGGGAGGAAGCCCAGGCTAGCCTGATAGGTGAACAAAGAGCACCTGGGGGCAGCTGTCCCCGTGAAGGCCCAGGCCAGGTGTCCCACCAGCACCACCTGTCCTGGTTCAGCCCAGAAGGGACCTCCAGACCCACAGCTACTACAAACTTGCAGTCTTAAGTCACAAGTTTAAGTTGAGAGAGGAGTGGGAGGTACCTTATGAGGATGTTACACACAGAAGCCGTGGCAATATGGAGAAATCACATTGAAAGGCAACAAAACCGTTTGCCAGCCCCTTCCTTCTGCTTTCTGAGCATATACATACCTTGAGTTGTGTTTAGGGGAAAGGGTTTTGTAGTTTTGTGGCTTTGTGTGAGCTGGGGTGCTCCCTGTAAAGGCAGGCTGGAGTTCACTCACCACCCTCAGCCCCGTGGACTCACCTGGGAGTGCAGGGAGGCATCTCTGGATTCCCACACCTCCGGTTGCCGCCTGCTCTCCTTTGCTGCCCACCAGGAAGCCAAGGTGGGCTGCAGTGTATGCAGCCCAAAGGGGTAAAAATACCAAGCACCTAGGCACAGGGAGAAAGTGCTGCTTAGAATCTGTCATGTGGCCTGTGTCACTCACTGTGAGTCCAGCTCTCCCAGGCATGGAAATGACCTCATGACCTCACAGTACACTCATGCTCACACCCCACACCCCACCCCCGGGTTCCTTCGCTCATTCTGCAGACAGTGAAACTCGTGTGAAAGCACCTTCCTTTACCAGCTCCAGATTTCTAGGGGTGGAGCCCAGCCCTAAGGTAGCCCTGGCCATCTCAGTGCGCAGTCCCCTGGGGAGCCTTGATAACAACCACCACTGGCTGCCCTGACCAGAAGAAGGGTTTAATGGCTCAAGTGGCCACTTGTGAGTGGGCTTAGCAGCTCCCCAGCTCCACAGGTTGCTGACACTGAGCATCACACAAGAGAACAAAGCATCCCAGGATCAGGGCCCAAGGCTGCAGCCACAGAGAAACAGAGAACCTGAAAAATGTCATTTTTGCCACTTAGTTATCAGCCTTGAGCAGGGAGGGGAAAAGAGTACCCACAATCAGTAGGTTGTGTAGACAACACTACAACACACTCCCTGAGCAGGTCTGGATCCTCTCCCCTGGCACCTCCACGAGCCCTGACTGTGACACCAGCTCTGTCAAACCCACGAGGAAATGGAGAAGCTCAGACAGAGCTGGGCTCAGCACCTGGGAAAGTGCCGGCAGGACAAGCACCACGCTGTCCTGAGTAATAAAATGGTTATTATTTTAAGGGTGATGCCCAGTTTCCACTAGGTATGAACAAGTTGTTCTTGTAACAGGAAACAAAAGGAAACTAACATTTGGAAAAATGCCTTCTTATTAATAAAAGTATGCTGGGCAGTGGTGGTAGTGGCCCTCCTTTAATCCCAGCACTCAGGAGTTCAAGGCCAGCCTGTTCTTCAGAGAGTTACAGGACAGCCAGGGCTACACAGATAAAAACCAACTCTTTACAAGTTCCTGCAGTCATTGAAAGGGAGCCTGGGACTACACAGCCAAATCACATGAAACCGGAAACTCAGTGAACTGTCCAATGAGAAGTGGAATACACAAGGCAAAGATGACAAGAAGGTCCTGTGACAGGCAGAATGGGGCAGAGCTACGGGTAAGCAGCTCTTCATGTCCCAGCCAGTTCTTTTTTCGCTGTTTCACGGCTTCTGGTTCAAGGCAGCCAAAGGTTTCACTTGATCTTGTAAAAACATTCCCCTTGCAAACAGACTCTGTCCTGATTTGGAATAGAGGGAAAATAGCTGCTCCTAATAATAGCTCAGAGTTCCTGCTGGCTACCCACAGAGTGGCTGTCCAGGGGCGTGCTCCTCCCAGAGACACCCTGGACCACAGCAAGAGCAAGGTCAGATGAGACACATCCCCTCAGCCCTGGGGTGCTCTCAGACAGGACAGCCTGGGACAGTAGGGTGGGGTTGGGGAAGTGGAAAAATCAGGCAGGTCTCTGCCAATGATCTTGCTCACCGGATTCCTGTTAGTGGAGCAACTGCCACACCTACCTCTGGATCACTGTTAGCCCAGCTTCTGTCACACCTACCCCTGGAGCACTGTTAGCCCAGCTTCTGTCACACCCACCTCTGGAGCACTGTTAGCCCAGCGACTGTCACACCTACCCCCTCCATCAGCCTCTATCTTCCCTTTCTTCCACCCCTGCTCACCATAGGTCAGACCAGTCAGGAGCAGCAGGAACAGAAGGAACCACAGAAAAGTCTTCAGGTTCAGTGAGAAGTGCCTGGACCTCGGGAGGGCAGAAGAAGGCAGACGTCAGCATGTGGGATCTGGGCCTCCATGCTCCACTCAGTCCCTTGGGACTTTTCTAGAATTCTAAACTAGACTTAAAACAAGTACCCTTGAGCTTCCCATGGGATTAGGGCCAGACTAGTTCACTAGAACTGTACCTGTAGGTCCTAAGAGTAGGAAAATTTTGGCTCTATAAATTTTAAAACTTATTTTCAATGCCGTGTGTGTGTGTATGTGTGTGTGTGTAGGCATATGTGCAGGTGAGTGTAGGTGCCCTCGGAGTCCAGAAGAGGATATTGTATCCCCTAGAAATGAGTTACAGGCTGTTATCAGCTACCATGTGGGTGCTAGGAATCGAACTCAGTTCTCTGGAAGAGCAGCCAGTGCTCTTAACCACTGAGCCATCTCTCCAGCCCCCCAACCCACCACACATGGATTTTTGAGACAGGGTCTTGATAGGTAGCCCAGGCTGACTTGGACTTCCCATGTAGTTCAGGCCGGCTTTAGACTCTCAGTTCTCCTGACTGATTCTTGATTCTCTCAGGTTCTTTGGTGACCATCCCTCTTTCCGGCAGCTCTTAGCCATACTCCATGACCTGGACTTGGCTAGAAGTGCTCTGACCTCCTGGTCTAGCCTTTCTTCTCCGCCCAAAGGACACGACCTCTGTTCTGCTGGTTCGAGAACTTAGGGAATAACCAACCCCACAGCATCCTCAGACAATGCCTCTTCATGGCTTCTGACCATGAGCAGGAACTTCTGGAATGTAGCCTGTCGCAGGCCTAAGGAGTCAGGACTTTCTACCCCACTTTTGAATTAGTGCCTCAGAGTTTGCCACTGGGAGCAAAGCCACCCTTTCTCTGAGGACTGAAAGTGGCTGGGCTGGGTGGCCCTTGGTTCTTAGGAAGGACCCAGGTGAGCACGAATCTTGAGAGTTATTAACTAGGAAGAGAAACCTGCCTACACCAGAAGCTACCCTAGACTGAGTACCTACAGGGAACGGTGGGCCGCATTCAGGCTTGGATGCTCTATCAAGGCCTGTGGTACCAGGTCTTTCGGATTCATCATCAAGTCTGGAGTGTCACTCACCTGGTTAAGACGAAGACGTCCAGGAGGGAGGCAGCAGTCGTCAGGCGGTACCAGGTGGTGCCAACCCACCAGTAGAGAAGACCAAAGAGCCGGCCTGAAAGGTGGCCATTAAGCCTAAGCTTAGCCATACTTAGCACACTACGCTTTCCCCATCTTTGTGCTCCCCTGCCCACCCCTTGCCAGGCCCCATTTGTCCCACTCCACAGTGACCCCTTTCCAAGTCCACCAGCCCAGTCTTCCTATACCCCGACCTGTTCTGCAGCGGCTCCTGCTCAAACCTGCTAGGCCTTCCCCACAGCTCTTGGTTCTCAGCGATTATTCTACGACAAGCCCTCCCGACTCTGTAGCCTGGGTGCCCAAGCAGGAAGTGGCCTAGCACACAGCGAGTACCCACCTGGAAAAGTGACCAGGGCCCAGACAAATGAACCCGCTCGAGATGCTGCACTCCTTAACCCTGACCCTGAGCTGTGCTGGTTGGAGTCTGTGTAACCTGCAGGGAAGGGAAGGAGACGAACTCAATGCCTCCCCATCACTGTGAACCCCAGATTTGGAATCTGACTTCTGTTTGAGCTAGAGTCTCTCATCCTCCGCCCAGAGTACCAGACTGGCCCGGCACACAGTAGCTCAAGGCATGTGTGTGAACTGATGAGATGGGGACTCCAACATCTTTTCCCGGTGCTGGGGACCGAACCTAGGACCTGTGCTTGCTAGGGCACTGTGCCTTGAGTCACGTCCACAGGCCCTGACGTTTTATTTCCCTTTCGCACCCCTCCTTGCTGACAATCTCTAGGTAGTCGCTTAGAACCAGACAAGGGATCACTCCTACATGTAACAGAAATTACTGAGTATTGACCATGCTTAAGTCCCAGGTTAAATTGCCCAAACACAGTAGCCACTCACAGACTAATGAAGGAGGATTCTACAGACACACAAAGTCCTAGGTGAGAGACTGCTAGGGGAAGGATGGAGAGTGTTGCTGCAGACACCCAGTAAGGTGTGTACATGTGTGAACACACACACACATACACACCATGAGAGAGAGAGAAAGAGAGAGAGAACTGCCCAAGGTTGCATGTTTGTTAGGCAAATTCTCTACCCCAATGCTCTGTCCCCAGCTCTCAGGGAAGCTATGGTGAGGTCATCGCATGCTGTCACCATGCCCCTTGTCCTCAGTCCCCCTCAGCCCTAGAATCCACTCACATGAGCTAATGAGGCAGCACCTACCTGCAAAGTCATCCTCTGAAGAGTAGCCTGAGGAAGAGCCGAAAAAGTCCTCTGAGACCTTGCTCTCAGTGGTGAGCCCATTGGCTTTGCTGCTCTCCGAGCCGCCTGTGCCTCTCCTCCTCCTTCCCCGCAGGTCCCCACCTGGCAGGGGATGGGGCTCTGTTGAGCTCCCACAGCCTCCACCTGGGGCTGAGGGGTGCTCTGAGAAGCATCCCGAGGAGGGCCTCTTGGGAACACTGAGAGGGAAGGAACTTGGAGACCAGGTTTCAGGAGGGGGTCTGGGGTACTCACTCCAGTATGGCTCACTGTGTAGACGGTCACCGTGTAGACGGTCATCCAGGAGGGCACTCCTGGCGAGGGACGCGGCCCGGGGGCTGCCTATGTAGGACTCCCGAACCACAGACTCGCTGTAGTAGGAGGTGTGAGAGTCAGAGGAGGGGCCCAGCTGTGGAGCTGGGGACAGGCGCTTCATGCTGCTCGATTTCCTCTTCAAAGTCCTGTGGGACAGCCATGAGGGGAGAGGCAGGGAAGTGAGCCCAGCCAGGCAGGGCAAGCCAACATCCCTGGCAGGCTCACTTTGTATGGGTGGGCCTTGTTGCCAGGAGACCAACAACCCATCTACTTCTGACTTCTCCCAGCACAGGTACTTCTCTGCTTCTAGTACCTATCGCCGAATCTCACTAGAGACAGTGAGTTCATCAGTTAGAGACAGAGTGAGTCACCATTCAATTCGGGTTTCTCACTTCAAAGCCAAATGTTTGCCCATGCTTCCTAGTAGGACTAGGAGTTTCCACAACCTACTGAAAATCTGGACAAACCTGACCTGGCCTCCCAGACTTAACCAGAGCCTCAGGGTTAAGGCTCATGGCTGCAAGGAGGCAAGACGACAAGGTGCTGTAGCCCTGAGTCAAGGGCCAGCTCCTGAGCCCCTGCAGGTGGTGAAATGTGAGGTGTGGGCCTGGGGAAGGTGGCTGAACTGCCACACCCATCCGCAGCAGACTTGCTTCTGTGGAGCCCAGCTTTGGTGTTTCCTGCCTGGCTTTTGTATGAAGCTGCCTCTCCCCACTTCCTGTTCACTAAACCTGAGGCTGGGTGGCCCCTGCTCACAGAGGGTGGAGAAGGCAGTATATCCTGGGTCCTGCCATCCTTGTAGGTGTAAAGAAAGGCAGAAGCCTCTGGACCAAACACAGGCATCGCCTCTCCATCCACAACAGCGGCAAGGGAAGAGTCGCCCGCCCGGTCCCTACCTGAGAGGACTGTCTTTAAACAGGCTGCTCTGGCTTCCTGCCACGGAGCTCGCACCACTGCTGCTGCTGCCATCGTTGTCATCCTGGGAGTAGCGCGTGAGGCGCTGGCTTCGTCTTGACATGATGAGGCGGGGTAGGGACCCGTCTCCTGAAGGAAGACTTGGGGGAGACAGGACAACATATGAGGTGTAGGGCTCCGCCGAGGAGAGACATGGGTGCTACCTCACTGCCGAGGACAGATGTCCTGCACACCCAAGCAAAGCAGCCCTGTGATGTGAGGGTCTCTCTGTTCACCCCCGACTGCTGCCTGCCTTGGGATTTACTTAGGACTCAGGGAGCCTCTTCCGTGGCCCTTTTCACAAGGCTTCCCAGTTTATAGGCTGCTTGTCTTTATCCTCCTTGGCACTGAGCTCTGTGGGAGCCAGAACTGGGCCTGGCTCAACCTCTGAGTGCAGCAGAGACTAATACACACTTGACAGGGACTTTGATCACTGCTTCCTGGGGCGAACCCTCAAGCCCTTCCCACACCAGGACTTTATTCTCTCCCCACGATGTTCAGCCCCACACCCATTGCTCCCCTTCCTCTGGGCATGCTCTCCATTCCTTCCTTTTGGGGCCCCACATCCCGATTATAGAAGCCCTTCCCACCTGCATTATCATGGGTCTCATATCTGCAGCCTCCCAGCACACTGTGATGTGACATCTTGATGTGACAAGAACGATCATAAAGGACTACTGGCTGTCTGGTTCCTTTCCTACTCATTAATGATGGCCCTGGCCTAAGCAAGGTGGCCATCATCACACCCTTCTACAAGGGAGAAACCTGGGACACTGGCCTGTAGGTGAGAGCCAAGTCTCTTTCTGCTCAGACCTGAGAGACTGCAGGGCCTAGACAGCTGCATTCCATCGAAAGGTTTACAAGTTGGGAAGCGTTACAGCTCCATATAACACACAGTGGGAACGTAGCTGTAAGCTATGTGGTTGTGCAATGAATCTGTTAAGGAAGTAACGCAGAAGGTGGAGCTCTTGTGTAGTGTTGCAGTCAGTCTGGCCTACAGGACAGTCACAGTCACCCCATGGGATGGGGTGAAATTGATAAGAAGGCCAAGGTGAAAAGACCTGGCCAGTGACAGTCTTCCACCACGTGAGCGAAGGTAAACAAACCTTACAGCCCTGGAACCTGAGTTCAAATCTCGGATGACCAACACAGGCTTCTCAGAGCGTGGGTCAGAAGGAATTACACAAACATATATCCCAACAAGAGTTCCAGGTATTGGGGCTTTGTATATCGGGTATATCAGGACTCCTGATATTCCTGGCAGACACTGACCTCCCAATGGCGAGAAACACACCTAAACCCTGACCATAGAAACCAGAAGGTCAGGTTCATCCAGCTAGCAAGACAAGTAGCCTCCTGTCTGGGCTAACTGGCGTCTTCCCAGGTGGGATGCCCATCTGGCATCCTTCACTCTCTTTAGTGGTGCTGGTAAAGGGACCAACTGGTAGTAGCCAAAGCAGGAAGTTGGCCTGGGGCCTGGGTTGTATTTCAGTCCTTATAAGGTAGTTCCACCCATGGCTGCCACCCCCACCTGACAGCTACAGATACCCACACCCTCCTCTTAACCCCTGCCCTGCTGGAGTAGATGAAGCCTTTGCCAGAGGGAAAAACATTGCAACATGTTTAGACAGTGCCCACACTGCTGTTGGCAAGAAGCTAAACGTTCTGAGGAGGTGGGAGGCAAGGTACTGAACACTTACAGTGTGCCACCTCCCAGCACTCCCAGAGCTGTGTGGCCCTGATCTCTATCTTTCATGCTGCATCCTGTTGTCGCAAAATAGTTTACCACAGCGGCCATCCAGGTTTCACAAGATGACAAAGGTCTACAGTGTGGGGAGTCGCTAGGATAGACACTCCTCTACCTCACCATCAGTTACAAAACCTTCAAATAAAACATCCTTCCCCACTTCAGAACCCTCATTACAACAGAGACTTGGCCCCTATCTTGGGGAATCTTACAAGTGACATTTCCACTCCACTTCCCGTGAGACATGCAAAGTGCTCCAGGCGCTCTCCCCCTGTCCTGGCTTTCAGTCACACCCCTGCGCGGCGCGCGATGGCTTTGTTTTGGTTTGGTTGGGTTAGGCTGTTTTGGAACTGAGCTAAATGGGCCTCTCTCTCTCTCCTCCCCCAGAGTTGTGACAGGCGGCGGTGGCGCAGGCTGAGAACTTCCAGTGCCAGGAATCGGTCAGTGGCACTGCCCTGGGCCGGTTTGGGGCGGCTGGGTTCTGGCTGTCCTCCACCCCGGAGGCTGCTGGGGAAGTCCCGCCTGGGGACAGCGCCCTCCCCGTGACTGCGATGCGTCAGGGCGCCGGCCCGCGAGTGGTCCGGGGCGTGCGCCGCGTAGGGGCTGGAGTAGTCCGGCCTGGCCGGACACGGAGGCGCAGGCCGGCGC